CCCCAAAACCCCAAAACCCCAAAACCCCAAAACCCCATTTATTTCATAAAACATTGGAATATGACAAACTATTTAATGAGTATCAAAGATATTGGATAATGTTTGTTAAGCCTCGACTCTCTTTCTAAGACTCTAGCTAATTGAAACCCTTTACAGAAGGAGCGGCATCGCTAGCAGAAATATTCATAGCTTCTATAGCCTCACTTTCAGTATCTGAAACATCGTCTGTACTCATTTTGTTGAAATTAGTTGTCTTTTTAATGTTGGATATTGGGTCTCTCATCTTTTGAACCTTAGAATTCCCAATACAAACTCCTATTAAAATAGTAGACAGGACTTACCGACATTACACATGCATTGTTGCGCAATTTCTGGCTCTTGAAGCTGTCTAGCACATTTATATGCTTTGTTGTAATATTGCTTGGCATCTTCATATTTCGCTTTTTCAAAGGATATGTATCCTAGACTTAAAAGGCAGTCAAGCTGTAATTTGAAATTCCTCATCATTTTTGCTAAATTGTAGCAAATATCAAAATGCTTATTGGCTGTATCCTGATTTCCTCGAATAAGTTCTGTGATTCCTAACTGTCCATTTCAATAGCATTCAGAGTCAACTTCTTGATTCATCACGGCCCATTCTAATGCTTTTGTGAATCATTGGACTGCTTCATCATGATTTTTAAGAATCCTTTGCGAGATTCCCAGGTTATAATGAGCTGCAAATAAATTTTCTTTGTCAGTATATTCCTTATGCTTTAGGTGAAACATTAAAGATTTCTCATAATTCTTCATTTTGTGATATACTACTCCGAGTCTGTTAAGAGCAAGAGCAGCTCCAACTGGATCTTCTAAGATTCTTGCACAGAAGAAGAATCGCTTATAGTATCTAACAGATTTGTTAAGGCTTTTATCTTCGTTCAGACTTCCTAGTCAGAATGCCATATGAGCTTCTTTCTTCACATCTCCAGCTTGAACTCCAGCTTTTGCTCTCATCTTGATGTCCATCAAGGAAGCATCACTGGTTGTAGATCTTTCCTTATTTTTAGTCTTCATCATGGACTTGTTAGTGCTTGTATTCAATAATGGGATGGAAGGAGCCCAGCTCCCTTCAGACCCTATCATGTTTATAAGTCCTTCAGGTGGCTGAACTTGGATTTGCTCTTCTCTAAAGTTTCTCATAATAGTTTCAAATCCTTGATCCTCTACATCAAGGACTTCCTTGACACTCATATCTCTTCCTGGTTGACCCATCTTCTCTCTGAGGTCTTTGAAATCTTGAGTGTTGAATTGTTGGACTTCTCCTTCGTCAATCTTCTTAAATGCGTCCTCTTCAAATCCTTCTTCGAACAAGTTATCACTGTTTTTATTGAAACGTCTTCTCTCCATGAGACTGGAGATATCCAGGCTCTGCTCAAGATTCTTACTCTTAGTGTTATGCTTGGCTAGAAGTTCTCCAGTAGTGTTCTCCTCTTCAGTTTCCTTAGTTATAGAAGGAAGAGAAGGCAGCTTTATCTGATCCTTTTCTCTTTGTCTCTTTAGCATTTTCAGCTGGTTCATCTTTGGCTGGACAAAAATCTCATTGAACATTAATTTATTCTGATCAAGTCTTGATGTAGGATAGTGCTTTGGGTGCATCTTCTTGGAAGCTGGCCTATCAATCTTCCCAATCGAGGGTAAGGTACCCATACTGGAACTAAAATTTTATTGTTGAAATTACTGATGATAATGTCTCTTCTCTTCGTGAGATTTCAAAATTTCATTCAACTGTTTAGTCATTTTCTCTGCGTCTATTTTATCTTTCATGGCCTTGGAATTCAGCAGTGCTTTTCTTGAGTTCTTCATAGTGAGCATAGATGAGGATCTCCCCATGCCATATTTGGGTTTCTTAACACCAGAATTTCTCCCCTATAAAATTTGACCTCCTTTTGCCTCTTTTGTGGATGCAAGAAATTTAGAATTTATTGGACTCAAATGATTAGAATTTCGAGCCAAAGTAAAGTTTTATTGTCTGGCAAAATTAAGAAGTTCTTAGAAGTCCTCATTAACCTAGAAATTTAGAGATCATAGGTATATCTAAATATTTCTATTCTTGATAACGGTTTATGATTAGATCCAATTAGATTATACCTTTGATAATCTCTTTTTATTAAACTTACGATAATAGTTCTATCAAAGGATTTATTATTTGGTTCGATTTGTATACTTTTTACTTAGGGGGAAGTTTAGTGCGGATGATGAGTTGAGTTGGAGATCTACATTGGACTATTTTGTTAAAGGGGGATTATACTTCGTCTAATATGCTCAGTTTATTTTTTTGAGGGATTGATAGGTTTATTGTTTGCATTTATTTTATTTTAATAATAATATTTTAATGACGGGGTTTTGGGGTTTTGGGGTTTTGGGGTTTTGGGGTTTTGGGG